ATTTTCTGTGTTCCTAAGCTACACTTTCCTGCTAGCTTATAGATTTTAAAAAACCTGATCCCTTTCCATTTCTCAGAAAAGCACATGATTTGAGGTTCTAATTAGTTTAGGCCAGATGACTTAAATGTTGTAAAACAACAAAGCCAGGTCATTAAAACCTTTTGATTGGTAAGCATTCTAGTTTGTCTTTCTATGCTCAGCACCTCTAATGAATAAGCTCAAGCTTAGGTGGCAGTTCATAATATTTTGAGGCTTTAAAAGCATCCTATGCACACACACCCGTCTTGCAGTGCTGTTGCTGATGATAAATGGGCAGTTGGTGAATAAAATACACAACAAATGGGACAACTTGAATTTTTATCCTGGTAACGGGTTGCATAGCAACAGCAGAACACAAAGGGCTACAAGGAGCCACTATGAACACAGTTAGGTCAAAAAACATTCTCCCCATCTTCTAACATAGGAGCCAGCCCACAGGTACCTTACCTCTTAAATGCAACATAGACTGTGTAGGAATACTTACATGGTCATTATCCTTCACATAAGAGTATCGCATATAAATCTGTCCTCAGAAATCAAACACTGAATGTCTCCTTATTTGCGGTCCAGGATGTGGAAATAGGAGTGGCCCTGAATCGGTACGTTTTTCAAGTTGCCACCATATATACTAATAATGAACTCATTCAGTGAGCTCCTGATATAGCCCCAAACGTGCCATTTACACACGAGAGGAAGATGTCAACCAAGATCTGCTAAAGTGCAAATACATCTTTAGCAGGTGAGGGATATGTGGAGGGGGGGTAGCAGTTTTATGGACCTGGGGTGCTCAGTGAGCACAGGATGTTGATGGCCTTGGGGGGGGGGATAGAGTGGAGTATCTTGGCACTCTGAGCATTCCAATGTCCCATAAAAATATTACCTTTTGACTACAAATTTTGCCATTGTAATATGGTTGTACCTCTTGGCATTGGGACGCAGGTGGCACTGTGGGTTAAACCACAGAGCCTAGGACTTGCCGATCAGAAGGTTGGCAGGTTCGAATCCCCGCAACGGAGTAAGCTCCCGTTGCTCAGTCCCAGCTCCTGCCAACCTAGCAGTTTGAAAGCACGTCAAAGTGCAAGTAGATAAATAGATACCCCTCCGGCGGGAAGGTAAACGGCGTTTCCGTGCACTGCTCTGGTTGGCCAAAAGCGGCTTAGTCATGCTGGCCACATGACCCAGAAGCTGTACGCTGGCTCCCTCGGCCAATAAAGCGAGATTAGTGTCGCAACCCCAGAGTCGGTCAGGACTGGACCTAATGGTCAGGGGTCCCTTTACCTTTTGGCATACTCACTATGGGTGGGGAACCCATGCCCCTCCAGGTGTTGTTAGGACTCCCAATTCCCATTATTCATGACTATTGGCCATACTGGCTGGTGTTGATGGAGACTGAAGTCCAGTAACATCTTGAAGACCGCAGCTTCCGGCACCTGTACTGTAAGCTTTACATGCATTCTTAAGAGCAATTGCAAAGCAAAGGGTTGCATTACCACATTTAGACGAATCCAACGCACCATCAAATTTAATGCACACTTCAATTTTCAAAACCTTTATATGAAAAAGGTATTTGCTGGAGAATGTAAATGCGCCATCAAATCTAATGCATGCCCTAATTTTCATGACATAATTTGGCCGAAAAAGGTGTGCATTGCATTAGAGTAAATACAGTACTGACCTCAATATTTTCAACAAAGCCACACTGCCATCATGGACCAAGAATCCCACCCACCCTAAATAGTCCAGAGACACACAGGTTGGTTTAGAGCACTCTTGCATATCCATTGGACTAAATTAAATACAAGGAGCAAAGGAGAGCATGGGGTGCAGGGATGGAGCATCTGTAGTCCTGCAGATGTTGTTGGACTTCAGTCTCCACCAGCCCCAGCCAGTATGGTCAAAAGTCATGCAACTGGTAGTCTAATATCTCTAGGGCCCTATTCCTTGGCTGGTGGCAATTTTGAAGGAACCTTCAATGGAGGAAACTTGAAAGAACCTGCAGAACTATGGAGCTCTCCTACATTCCGTCTCAACTCACAGTAGCTTATTTAAGACATTAGTAATGAACCTTGAAGGACGCAGGTGGTGCTGTGGGTTAAACCACAGAGCCTAGGACTTGCTGATCAGAAGGTCAGCGGTTTGAATCCCTGTGACGGGGTGAGCTCCCGTTGCTCAGTCCCTGCTCCTGCCAACCTAGCAGTTCGAAAGCACCTCAAAGTGCAAGTAGATAAATAGGTACCACTCCGGCAGGAAGGTAAATGGTGTTTCCATGCACTGCTCTGGTTAGCCAGAAGCGGCTTAGTCATGCTGGCCACATGACCCGGAAGCTGCACGCTGGCTCCCTCGGCCAATAAAGCGAGATGAGCGCCGCAACCTCAGAGTCGGTCATGAGTGGACCTAATGGTCAGGGGTCCCTTTACCTTTACTGAATCTTGACCAAAGGGAGAAGTTTGCCTGCCTTTTATTTTGAGGCCTGCAGCTTTGTGTGGAAGTGGATCGATCCTCAGCTATAATGGACTGTGCCGTCCTCTGCAGCATTCTTAATTTTCGGAACTCAGAAATCCAGACAGTTGCAGCAGAGTTTTAACCCTATTGCAATTTTGCGTGTTTCATGTTGTCAACGCAGTATAGCTGAAACTTAGTTTTGCCTCACAAGGATATTTTATTTCCCTACCTTTGATGGGCACAATGCTGATAAAATCCAGGCAGCAATGCCTGGAAGTCCAGCATTAAACAGAAATATGTCAAAACCTTTTTTAAAAGTGCTACCCCGTGGAGAAGAAAAGTGCAAGTTGGACTTTATTATAAAATATTTTTGTTCTGTTGTGAAAGCAGAGCTTTGCCACTAATGTTCACATAAAGGAGCTGAACGATTGTGAACAGCTGGAATATTGCAATTTGTAACGAATGTTTCCCCTCCATTAGGAAGCAATATAGGCCTTGCCATTATTCACAGCCAGATATAAGATTTTATATAGCTAAAAGCTACAATAAGAACAGAAACAAAAAGGCATATTTTCCATTTTAAAAATAATAATAATGGAATAATCCTTCAGGAGATAGAAAGCCTCTTTGAAGGAAAAGGCACTTACATTCTGTAAAGATCCATCAGCTTTTGTTAAGTTGTTAGGCTGAGCACTATTTAGAAATTATGGTACATGTACTAATTGTCCTTTAAATGCTAATTCCATCTGTTGGTGTCAAACCAACCTGACACTATCATGAAGTTTTATTCTCCTCTCTGCACTACATATATACATAAAATACCACACGCAAGTCTTCACTCTCTGCTGGCAAGGCAACACATTACCAGGGACTGAAGGAAAAAGAAATAGTGGTTAACTCGGCAGAGTTTTGAAAGCAAAACCCATTGGCCATCCCCAGCAAAAAGGGGCATCTTGAATTTAAGGCAGCTCACCACACATGAACCCACGAAAGATTAGAGGGATTCACTCAATGCAAAAAAGTAATTGACAGTATAGGCTCCTGTGAGTTAAGAGTCAGAATGACTCACAGGAACATTTTGCTCCCAAGCCTTATAAGGATGGCAAGTTACATAATCCTTTATTTCCTACTCTTAACTGGGTCATAAGGTGTCCTTAGCTTGTATTATGTTCTGTGAGTAATCTTTTGGCTTAATGGTTATGAACAATATGCTTAACTTCTCTCTCCATTCTTCCATCTCCCCCTCCTCCCCCGGTTTTTTGAAAGTGCAGATCAGCTGAGACCTCAGCCAGCAGCAAATTACCTTCATTAATACTATTTGGCACTCGGTAGTTACATGCATGAATCTGGTGCGATTACGTTTATCTGAGTGGCTCAAGGTCAAAGCATTTAGGAAAGTCACAAGAAAACAGGAATACTTTTTATAAATACTTATCACTCTAATTGGGCTATGTGCGAGTGTGCACGCACGAGAGACAAACAGACAACTGGTGATAGCACCGTTACCTGTGGAGGGGAAAGGAGCAGAGGCCACAGCAGGGAAAATGGAATCGCCCTCTTAATAAGGGGGCTTCACTGTTGCCAATAATCTGATCGGGTCTCCATTCGCTGGATCGAGATAGATCTTGTGCATTCATTAGAAGTTTGTGTGCATGGCTTCTCACTGAAGTACAGATATGCGTAGAGGTCTACTATTATATGGTTAACTGGATCAGACATGCACATTTTCAAATTCTTCTGCACAAGGATGGGATCTAGACAACCATTTGGGTAAACAGAAGGCATTTCTGCTCGCAACACTCTCCCCGATTACTGCCAACCTTCTGATCTAGATACAGCCCCACATGCCACATCTCATGCCCAGAGTTTCACCTACTCTCAGAAGCTGAAGCACCCCGTTGTGGGGGCAAAACTCCATTCACGCGTCTCTGAACCCTACCTACACATGCTGTTCAACCACAAATGGATACTGTATGTAAAATTCAGCATACTGATGTTTTCCGTTTTAAATCGGAACCAATTTCCTAGTCATTGCGGCTGCAGCAAGGCTCCCCAGTGGGTGAACAACATGAAACTGAGTCAGAAGGCAAGGCTAGATTCAGTACTAGACATCCTTCAGCAGCTGCCAGGGTTCCAATGTCCTGGCAGGCTCCACTGCTGATGCCTGCTGTGAGCACTCCTTAAAAAAACACACCACCCTAACACCCAGACTGGTTATTTAAACTAGCCACCATTTATATTTCCCAGACAATGATCCAAACATGGCATTCTTCTAGGGCAATGTGCCAAAATTAAAATAATGAGTATAACAAACCAACAGGCACCATGTGGTGCACCAATGTCACCAGGTAAGCGAACCAGGGCAAAGCCTCACCAGAGTGTAGACTGCCTACGGCCATTCAAACCTGCAGCCAGATTGGATAAGGGCCATGTATAAAAGGGTTTCTAACCCAACAGCTGACATGACTCAAGTTAAAGGGAATCAGCACATAATAAAAATAAGACACTCTACTAATATGTTTGTTAAACAAGTTTTATTTGCCCAAGTCAGCCCAAACATGTTGTAGACAAGAATCTGGATGGATATTTAATATGATCAGATCTCCAATTGTTAATACTGACGGTTGCTTGAACATAGTATCGTGTAAAAACACCCAGAAAGTATTTTGTGGTATGGGAAGAAAACGTAAGTCTGAACATGGACAAGCAACCACAACGGGAACTTCTTGAACAGTACATATTTGGAAGGCATTCCACCAATTCCAGTGCTCCGTTTCATCCCTTTTCCTTTCACCAGTTAGCTCAAGAGCAAAATAATTTAATCTACTGCTATGGAAGGATTAAGATTATTCCAAGGGAAAGACAGTCAAGCCTTGTACAAACTAAGTTTATAGCAACGAAAACTTGGTTATGCTTAACATTGTGAAACACTGCAAAACACTTATCTTGAGAAATGATGCATAGATAATAAGGGAAAGGTCTTCAGTTATAGCATGACATAGCCATCCCTTAGCTGGCAATCTTTCAGCAGGTTATGCTAGATGTTTGCAGGGCATGGAAAGGGTACAAATGAAAACCAAATAAACACATAAAGAGCAAAAGATTTAGAAGATTAGCCATTTAAATATTTATTGGGGTGGGGGAGAAACACTGGAATGCATATAGATGCCAAAGTCTTGGGGAACTTATTGTTAATTTTATGTGTTAACCTTTTTAAAAAAAGAGGAAGAAGAAGAAGAAGAAGAAGAAGAAGAAGAAGAAGCAGCAGCAGCAGCAGCAGCAGCAGCAGCAGCAGCAGCAGCAGCAGCTTGAGTCAGGTGGCAATATGGATTGGACAAATGCCCTTGGGCAACATTCAGATAGGGAAAAACATTTGTATACAATTTAAGGTAACAAAATGTCCAAGAAGAAACTGTACCTTATTTTAACACCCATGAAACAAAGCACAATACCACCCTTATTACAAACTGTCAGAATTTCTACTTAAATAGTTAACATGTGAAAAGCAAAGGATTTGCTTTTAATATAAAAATAAGTGTGTGCCTGCAGTACATTCTGAAGTCCATTCAAATCAATAGCTAAGCACTCATTGATGTCAATGGAGTCTGGGCCCTATGGAAATCTGTAGTCAGTTCCTTTGGCAGCATAATTATGATCACACCTCAGCAATAAATAATGTTTTAGTCTAGAAAAAAGAAGAGGGAAAGATGATCCCATTGTCACCAGTACACTAAATACACAATTTCAACATCAGAATTTATACATATATACAACCTGCATAAATGTATTGTAAGATTACAGCAACTAGCAATAATGCAAAATGCAGCTATGTATAAAATTTCACTGATTTTTTTTTAGAGAATGAGTATATATAATGTTGTGTATAAAATATCAGACAAGTGGATATATATACACACACATACTATTTATATATTATATATAAAGAACAAAATACCATGAAAAATGTTGCTTCAGCTTAACATCACAGTCAAAATTTGGGCACCACTTAATGTAGTATCAAAGATTGTGAATCAATAAAAACTGATTATGTAATTTATTAATATGAAGGAGTTACATACTCATCAAAAAGTCTTCATTTCATTTATCAAATGTTTGGGCTGAGAGAGGTGGTGGCGGGGAAACTGGGCCTGCTCTTAATAAGGATTCTAAAAGAACACCTTTTGAAACTAATTCAGTTTTGAATACAGAAAAGGCTAATTTGAGCCCCATTTCCCATTCTATACCATTTGTAGACAGAAAGGAAACCACCATGGCTTGATGATCAACTAAGCAAGTGTTCCAGAAGAAAACACACACACACACACACACACACACACACACACACACAAATATTGGTCCAAAATGGAACTGCAGCTGATCACTAACATGCTTCTGAACAGCCTATTTAGCACCAGTATAGGAAGTGAAAGGGCCACTTGACAACAGGCAGGTTTGAGTTAGACAAACACAGACCTCACTACGAAATAACAGGTATTTGTACAACAGACGGTGCATATTTCAGAAGGGCTCTGAAACCAAAGTATAAATGCCTTTCGATTTTCGTGTGTTCCATCATTACCTTTTGCTCAGGCTAAATCATTAGTTCATTTCACTACCCACCCCGCTTGCAGAGTACGGTTCATCCATATGTAACCTATAAACAATATATTAAAGATGATTATGTTAAATAGCTGGATAAGTAAATGGTCAACAAGGAATTAATGAACCTACAGAAAACACAGAATCTTTCCTTTCATTTTCTGTCAGGGCAGGAGTCTTTCTGATCCCTGAACACTGCAATTATATTTTTGCATGATATTTATTTTAGATGCTTAACTCTTAAAAATGTGTATTTGCTAGTTGAGGCCAAGAAGATGACATCTGCTCCTAGATCGCTGCTGTGAATAAATTGTGGCATAAATGTTGTCTTCCCAATATGAAAGATTTCTCTTTCATGCAAATAAGTATTCAGCAAAACCACTGAATGAAAGCAGAGAGAGAAGACAGAGCAAAAGGTCTAGTTCCATCAGAGTAACTTGTGCTTGAAAATTAATTTACATACTAAAAATGCAATCTTGAGACTCTTCTCTTCTTAGACAGGGAATAAGAACTACTCCTCAGCAATAAGTAGCACTAGTTTTCTGAGAAATGCAAATAAGAAATCCAATCTGGCAGAAACCATAAAAGTCCATTAACTGCTGTCATTCAAAATTTTCTTCTCCCAAATTTACAACTGCTTTATTGTACAATCATAAAATGCAATCTGTTAGGATGTTCTAGCAGGGGTGCAAACTGAAAAGCAAATTAGCTAAACTAATTGGGTTTCAAGATACCACTTCAGACTTAAAGGTTCCATAAAAACAATGTCATTAATAAACTCTGGAAAGAAGGAAAAGGAAGAGCTGCACATATAAACTTGCTTTCAAGCTTTTTCTTATGAAACGTAGCACAAGGAAAAGTTACTCTAGAGAGGCTTCATTATAAATAGGGAGTACAGCTGATAGACCACTATGCAAGGCAGGGTGTTGAAGGCCTTTTAACACATTAGCAGCTCCCCTTATTTAAACAGCTTTGCAAGAAGAAAAAAAGTGTGTTAAACTTGAATTAACTTTTTTAACTTTGAAATTGCTTGGCTGTCTTTTCCCTTGAGCAGAAGCATCCTTTTAAATCAATGGAGGGACAATTTAAATGACAAGGGTCAGCAACATCCAAAACTGTTTTCAGGAACAGACTGCATTTTCACAGGAGAGGCTGTTGATGGTAATTTGTTCGCTGCTGTGTAAGGGAATGAGCTGGAACTGCTGGATAGCATGTTCCTTGAGGCAAACTGGATGCATTGTTCTGGTATGTGAACATATCCATAGGCATACCCATTTGTTGGGCATAAGGGACTGTATTAGGAGGCGGAAGGCAAGAATTCTGGTTCATGTAAGCAGCAGTGGATTCTAGACCGGTGCTGAAATACCAAAAGAAAAGGAAAAAAGACATATTGTCAACACGCAAAACAAACGGCAACCCTAGAAAGATTACGCCATTTGCAAGACGTCTTCAATACAGCTTTGTTGATTGAATACCTTAAATAAGCTGCCTGACCAGGTTGAGAAGTTACTGAAGAATTTATAGTTGGTGGCAAGGACCTCAGTGGACCAATCTGATCACTTCCTGGATTGTAGCCTTGAGGAACACCATGGACCACATAGTTCCCACTGTGAGGGTGCATGGGATAGGACTGCAATGGAAACAGAACAACATTACGAGTCTGAATTGCACAGCTAAAAAAACAAGAGGGGGTAGCACACACACAAAAGCTATGGCCAGTTTTGTATGTGGCAAAAGCACTGCACTAAAGCTGTGGTTTTTAAAACTCGCAGGAATTGTTCCTTGAGGGAATAAAAAGAAAGAGTAGGTATTTTATAGCACAGCATCAAGGTCATTATTGCACCATCATGGTTCAAGCAGCTTCCTCTAAGCTTCTATCACGATGTGGTGGTTATACACAGGCTTAAATCCTCACTCGGTCACAAAATTTGCCAGGTAACGGCAAACTCTGGCCCTCCAGATGCTTAGGACTACAATTCCCATCATCCCTAGATAACAAGACCATTGATCAGGAATGATGGGAATTGTAGTCCCAAACATCTGGAGGGTCGGAGTTTGCCTATGCCTGCCTTAGGCAATCATTTTCCCCAAATTAATCTGCCTCACAAGGTTACTATGAGGATAGAGTAGGTGGGAAGAAAACCATGGTTGCTGTTCCAAGCTCCTTGGAAGAAGAGTAGGAAAAAAGTCTAACGAATAAAATATTCAGGTCTTGTTCCAACAAAAGCCATATTCTACTAGGACCTTAAGGTGATAACCATCTAAACCACACTCAGACTGAACCCACTGAAATAAATTGACTTATCCAACGATTTCAGTGGGGCTGCTCTTAGTATGACTGTTGGCCCCTTAACTATAGCTATCACTGGTTTTTAATCCTCATCAGGAAGCAGCATTATTTTCAAATGACAGGAATATTAGAATTTAAGATGTCTAATACTCATAATTTCCTTTACACCCCCCAATATAATCAATCTTCTATCATTTTAAAAATGTTCACTGCAATACATAATAGCTAAATGCATCATCTTTGATGTGGCAGTTACCATAGTAACTATTCTTTCCACACTGATTATGTAAAATCCACCTAATATATGCAGCCACTCCCCCCCTTTTTTGCACTTAATTATTGCCTGCACATTTCCCTCTCCCCACTCCCTTAAGTTTATTAAAGCAAACGTGAGTGTTTGGAGTGAATTTTCAAGTTATTTAATTCAGCACACAGAGAACTTGTAGCCCAAAGGAACAAGCAAGAGAAATCAATACTTTACTGGACAACACTGCTTTTGTCCTTCCAAGATACACTTCATTGTCAAAAATCTCAACACTACAACTCAAAACATGTGCACCAACAGATCTCTTTTATTTTACTTATTATTTTACTTACTATTTGGTGTCAACCAATACTGGTGTAACACCCAAAATTTTGTACTGCAGTATGCCTAATCCCTAAGTCCCTCTATCAGCTAGTCCACAAGCCTTTTAACTAGACTTATCATCAGTGTAAAGCTTGAACAAGTAAATCTATCCACCTGATTTGCAAAGCTACAATGAAAACATGTTTAACTTGGAAAACTTACTGGCTTGGATCTTATTTCGCAACACCCCCACCCACCCAACTGTAGCTCCCCCAGGAAGGAGGTGGTGTAAAAACAATTATTTTGCAAATACAGTCATACAACACAATCTTAACCATGCCTACTCAGAAATAAGTCCAAATGAATTCAATGGAGCTTATTCTCAGGAAAGCGGAGTTAGGATTCAGGGGGAGAAACACAGAACCTGCTCCCCTCTTTGGATCCAAGCCTACAAGAAATTTACAATTAAAGCATTCTCCGAAATCTGTTAACTATGTGGTATGGGTTAAAAAAAGAAAGAAATAGCTGTGGGAGAAATAAATAGTAGTTATCAATGCTGTTTCGCCTGTGTGTACGTTGACATGTAATGCAGCAGGATTCAGAAACCTTAAAATCTTAAGTTGTTAATGGAGCAGTGGCCCTCGCTCACATTGCAGCAACTGTTCTTAAAAGAATCCTTGCTAGACAGGGACACTGACCTGCACTGGAACACCAGCGGACGTGGGTGGATAGGGTGCAGATGAATGCATCTTCGAGTATGTAGAATACATAGGCGCTTCGTTCATCAGTTTGTTGTAGAGCTCCAAAGCTTCCAAGGCTTTAACATTTAGTTCAGACAATTCCGAGTGCTTCCTAGTTCAAAAAGAGTGTTAAGTCAAGTTATGCACTTGTCCATGTGCTAGACATTAATGTGCAGCCTGCTAGAAATTAAAAGCCTGTGAGGTTAAGAAGTGACTTGGAAAGAAGGTGTTTGCTTCTCAATACCAAGTCTGAGGAGGAGTCTCTACATCATGCTTCCCTGCAGCATATCCAACCCTTTGCTCAGTTCCCATAGTTATCATGCAGCCTTCTTCAACCGAGTGCCTTCAGATGTTGTAGACCACAACTCATACCATTGCCAACCACTGCCCATGATGGATTGAGGATGATAGGACCTTTAGTCCAAAGTATTGAGAGGTTCCTGTGTTGGCAAAGACTGCTCTACAGGATACATGAGCTTCCTAAAGTTAGCTAGCAGTTTTACACAAGCAATTCCCAGAACCGTTTAAGTAATAACTTAGCAATACACCCCCACAATACTTCTCCATCAAGAGGGGACAATATAGTTGAAGGCTATGGCAGGAGACATGACTGTTAAATCTACGGGATTTCTAAATTTCAACAGCTAAGTTTATAAGTTATCCAAACAACATTAGGGGGTGAGGGGTGGGAGAGAGAAGCTGAAAATAATTGGGATTTACATCTGTTTCCAAGAGACCAAAATCCACTTGGTTTGTTCTACTGATAGCACTACCCCCATAGTTAATATCCCTCCCCCATTATGCCTTCATTCAACACTCAAACAAATTGCAGGAAGTGGTCACCTACTGGGAATGCAGAAACAAATTAAGATGAGTAGACTTACACCATCTTACAGGTGGGTTCTAGTAAGTCCACAAAGAGTCCCACATTCCAAACCTATTTGCAGCCTGAATTGTCCTCTTCTTTGCTTGTGCATGGCCTAAGTACAACAAAGCTAATGTCTTGTTTCAAGCTTCTAAACAAGCCTGGATAAGTTGAAAGAGGTCTATAGAGAAAACATGACAGTCTTAAGTCTTCTATGTGCTGCTTAAGAATACATTCCCATTTTACTCACACGTATTGCTCAATTGTCTTACCTATCAATTTCCTCTAGTTTTTCATCTATCATGGGACCCATCTGTTGGCAGATATCTGAGAATATACAAATATTGATATTTGTTCAGTTAAATGTTCATAGCTGAGGAGACTGCAAGCGATATAAATGGGGCTGATATGCAGTGATAGGGGAGTCTCACCTCCCACCTTTCTCCCGGACTCCCACTTAGCTTATTGAACAAAGGACAATGGATTCTGGAATAGGACTTCTAGCACATTTATCAGCAATCAAAAATACCTTCTAAATCCAGGAGATCAGGAGAATCAGGTTTAGGGTCCGATGGATCTATGCTCTGGAGTAACTGTAATGCCTTATCCATCTTACTCTGAAAGACGAAGAAAAACATCACTAGAACCCGTAGGAGTGCAAGTCCCCAAACTCAGTCAAAATTCAATAGCTTTTTCAAGGAAGTAGTATCTAATGAGACTTTGTACTAGTTGAAAGCAACCACACACCTCATCTATGTAAACGGGCTCTGGCTCAGCTTTTGTAACTTCCTCTGTTGTGTCTTCAGCAGAAGAACTTTTCTCCACAGTTGCAGCTAAGAGAACATGATAGCATAAGTTTCTCAATCTAAAATGTTTTCCAAGCAGTTTGTTTGTTTGTGTTTCTGAATCACTTCCCAATAAAACAGCCTGAAGCAAATTAAAACCAAAAACACCCAACAATAAAAATGCCTATAAAAACAAATCCAAGTTCAATACAGTTACAGGCTGGGATAGAAATCTCTGCTTAAGTTTTCCTACATGCAGCAACTCTTCACACACGGAAAAATAAGTTTTAAATTCTGCTCTTGTGGTGTACGACACTTATTTTAAAACACAAATGCACTGAGCTCAAAACCCAGATGGCAAATTAAAAGTCATTTCATATCATGACTTTTAGCAGTTTGACTTGTGATAGTTCAATGTTTTCGTTTGGCAACACCAAACTTTTTGATTAGGTTGCAACAGAGCGTTGAGAACCATCTATTCTCACATTTTCATCCCGCCTCCATCTGTGGCTTCACAGCAAGTGAAATAGTCTTGTCTTGAAATAATAATGCCACTGACAAGACATATGGGAAGTTACTGCTCATAAAAATGCAAGATCTTCTGTCATATTGCATAGGATAAAAACGATTTAGCAATCAGAGCACAATTAGGCATTGTGAGTCAAGAGGATTAGAGCCAATTCCCAGGGTACTTAGTGACTTTGGACAAGTCATTAAATTTCATGGTATGTTCCTACATCAAATTGGGATAATACTTTATGTGTGACTTTTAAAGTGCTTTCAATACCACCTTTTTTTATTCGTCTTACCTGACTCAGGCTCATCGTTTAAGTTAGAGGTCACAAAATTAGATGGAAACAATCCTATTCCTCTGTGATTTTCTCCTTTCCACCAATTGGCATCACTGAGCAATAAAGATTTACATTTTATTACACAAAACAGACAACTGCAATATACTGTCCCTCACCTGTTTCCCTACAAATCCCTAGCATAGGCTCTTAATTTACAAGCGAATACTTTCTATAACTTGCCTTCTGCCATTCATAGGTCCATTAAAGAAAAGCCACAGAAACAAACCACAACCGCTTGCTCTGCAAGACAAGCAAAGCACTGTAGGGACAGATTTGCTAAATGCCCAGCATCTGCTACAAGGTACCAAACTGACACAAGAATACGCTTGAAAAAAACCCTCCTAAAAAAAACCGTAGAAGCAAAAGCCTAAATATTTGTTCTCTGTGTGTGTTTTTGACACCGTCTTACTATTTTCTCTGATGTTTCAGTCTCACAAGTGTTCTCCAAAACCTCAGAGGTTGAAACAAATGAAACAATGAATGAATGAAACAAATTCAGTTGAGTCATTTAATATACAATCCTTACTATGCATTCAGGTTTATGGATTAGCATGTAACTATAGCTGTGTTACATGTGTTACAGAGCCTAGGGCTTGCCGATCAGAAGGTCGGCGGTTCGAATCCCTGTGACGGGGTGAGCTCCCATTGCTCGGTCCCAGCTCCTGCCAACCTAGCAGTTCAAAAGCACATCAAGTGCAAGTAGAAAAGTAGGTACCGCTCCGGCAGGAAGGTAAACAGTGTTTCCGTGCGCTGTTCCGGTTCGCCAGAAGCGGCTTAGGCATGCTGGCCACATGACCCGGAAGCTGTCTGAGGACAAACACTGTTTGCCTCTGTATTTTTGTTGGAAGCTGCCCAGAGCAGCTGGGGCAACCCAGTCAGATGGGCAGGGCATAATAAATAACAACAACAACAACAACAATTACATTATTAATATTTAAAAGTCCCTAAGAATACTGGAGCATGTTGCCCAACAAACCATCTTCTGCTCCTCTGCCCAATTAAGGGCATTAGGATTAGGGCATTAAGAACAGCAAATTGAACCCAGCCAATTTTGCCAGTACTGGCATTGCACCAGGTCTTGAAGACACACCTCATTAGACAAGCATTCCTCTGAACTTGAACTTCCTGATCTAATTGCTTTAATTGCACTTTTAAACTGCTTATTTTGATGTATGTTTTAAATGCTTTGAAGGAATTGTTTCATTGTGTGTTTTAATTATGCATGGGCATTTCATAATTGATTTTATAGCTGTAAACTGCTCAAAAGCCATTGAGGCATGTAAGCAGGGCACAAATAAATAAATAACCCACCATAAAGATTAATCACAATCTGAGGTTCAGACACAACTATAAACCAGTTAGTTGAAAATGGCAGGTGAAAACTCTTTCTCGCAGCCACACAGAAAGAAAGGGGAGGGGACATCACACAAGTCTAAGGCTCATGAAAGTCACCATGCTTTCCGCCGCAAGACTTGAGTGAAGCGCTTTTAAATCAGTAAACCTCTGGAAGCACCTCACTTTTTAAAAAAACAACAACAACAGTTCCTAAAGAACACTTCTGGTGGTGGCAATAAAGAAATGGCTCCACGATTCAAAAGCTGGGACAGCTACAGTATCAGTCCATATCATAATCCAGAACATTTCTATTTCAAAGTTGTATTAATTTCAACAGAACTTCTACCCAAACCAATACTGCAGCCTGGTGCTTTGGTTTGGCTTAAGAGTGTGTTCCTGCAATTGAAGAACAATCCTACTGATGAAATTCACCTGGGCAAATTTCCTCTCTTACAACAGGACCTGCCCCTCTTCTCCCACTACCTGCACTCCCCCCACATCTGGGCCAGATGATTGGGGCTCCCCAGAACACAGATGCCAATGGATGACACCCTTTGCCTGGGAAGCAGGGCTAAGTAGAGTTGTAGAGTTTAGAGATGAAAAGATGAATGTAAGCTAATCTTGCCGCAAAGGGTTCCTTGTGGCTTACACACACATGAAAATTCTGATCAAGCACAGAACCCCCTTGTATTTTGAGAAGAAACCCTCCACAAAGATTTAAGAATTTATCTAAATGGTTTTTGGGTGTCCAAGGAAGTTTTACAATGATCACAGGGGTTCAAAGCATAATGAGCATGCAGTAGTATGGCATACATGGTGGTATCCAATGTTAAGTCATATTCAGAGTAGATCCAGTGAAATGAATGGGCATGACAAATTTAGGTTCATTGATGTCAATGGATCTACTCTGAGTAGAACTTTGTTGGCTACAACCCATACAGAGTAGTAGTAGCAATAATAATAATAATAATAATAATAATAATAATAATAAATTACTTATACCCCACCCATCTGGCTGGGTCTCCCCAGCCACTCTGGGCGGCTTCCAACAGGAGATTAATAACACATTAAAACACCAGTCATTAAAAAACTTCCCTAAACAGTAAATAACTTTAGTTCAGCAGCCCTCTCTACAGATAGAGGTCTCAAAGTATAACATACCTGTCGTCCAAAACAACAATAATATCTCCACTCTTAAAGGTGAGTTCATTGTCCTCGACAGCTTCAAAGTCATATAAGGCGCGCACCTTTCTTGAAATTTTCTGATTGCTTGGGTGAACTTCTACAGGTGGGTATAAAGGTTTTGTTTCTGTTTGTTGTTTTTGCTCTTGCAAAGATAATTCAATAGCTATGGTTTGGAAAACAAAGAAATGCCTTTTATAATGAAAATAACTGCTCACTCCTCTCTTTGTCTTCCATTTCCTAACCCATTTCCACCTCATTGTTCAGTCTTCTTTAAATGGAACATGTTGTGCATTTTAGGCATCAAAACACATCTCCAAGCATAAGCTTAGAAACACTTTAAATGTTATATTGCTCAAGATACATGGTGACTAATACTTTACCTTTAGCTATATCTTCATCCTCTTTGTTTTTGCTTGATGATGCACCATTCTTGGCAACAGCTGAGGGACTCTGTAAATGTACTGGCAATATTAATATACTACACCAAGTGTAAAAGTTCTATATTTGCTTGTACTTTAAAAACAGCAGTGATACTGATGTAGCTGCCTTGTGGTAAGCATTTTTAAAACTTGTTTAAAACAAGAAAGGACTGGAATCTCAAGAGGTGCTAGGAACACAGATTTTGGATAGGAACTCTTCAGTGTCATCTCAACTTCCAGCATTTCAGTCACAAGGTAATGGTATATACTGTCTCTAGACAAAATGCTAACTCAAGCCTCAAGAGAGTTACACCTAAGGCTAAGTATTATGTGAATGAGTTTGGACTCATGTGCTTGCTAGTACCTGAAGGAGCGTCTCCACCCCCATCGTTGTGCCCGGACACTGAGGTCCAACGCCGAGGGCCTTCTGGCGGTTCCCTCACTGCAAGAAGTGAGGTTACAGGGAACCAGGCAGAGGGCCTTCTTGGTAGTGGCACCTGCCCTGTGGAATGCCCTCCCGTCAGATATCAAGGCAACAAGCAACTATCTTACTTTTAAAAGACATCTGAAGGCAGCCCTGTTTAGGGATGTTTTCAATGTTTAAGGCTGTACTGTGTTTTTAATATTTGGTTGGGAGCTGCCCAGAGTATGTATGTATAAATTTATTTATTTATTTATTGCACACATCAATTTGGTCCTTGGCTCCCTATTTTGAGGCAAACCACAGTTTGTCCAGGATAGAAACAACTGAAACCTATGATTTGCTAAGAAAGAGGGAATGTGTGGGAGCAGAAGCAGTGATAAGAGAGGGTAGCAACGCGTAGCATTTCTATAACGTACTTCACTAGTTCAAAGCGCTTCATCTACATTATCTCAGCAATTCTTACAAAAACCTTGTAAGGTAGAGTCAGTATTTGGTACTAGCATCACAATACATGCAGGTTAGCCCTGTCACAAGTAATACTGATCCACGATTCCCCACACTCTAAGCACCTTTGCTCGCTGCCTCCAGAGTGACCCAAGTTGGTAACTGAGTAAGCAGAGCAAACCTTGAAAAGTTTCCCTCCAAAAAATGCATTAGACCAGAGTATTTCTTCAACATACATTGCTTTCTAGCACCAGCTGATGTCCTCCTCCTGTTTCTTTTGCTCTGTATGGCAAATAGTTTGTCACACATGCTGATTTTTCATAGCACTACCACAACACACTCACCCCTTCTTTTTGTTGAGGTTTGGAATTCATTAGCAGATTGCTAAGGCTATATACAATAAACAGCAGTCAGTGGGGCTTGGTTTTAAAATTCCCACTATATGCATCTGCATTCATCGGGGTCATGGGTTTAGCTATGCTACAGTTTTCCATCTTGGCCATAAGGATCATAGTATAAAATTATGTTGTTTTAATAGCATTTCTTAAATAACGGAGTATATTTAGATATTTGTAAACTAGCCAGGAAATAAAAATCTTTTTAAAAGGATGAAATATACATTTGATAATAGTTTATTCAGATGCAGGGTAAAATTCTGTCTCGTTATGAAAGCCAGGCATTTACTGAAAATCAAGCATGTCAAAATATTCTGCGTTTTACTTAAAATGTCCTCACGTATCTGCAAAATTGTAAGCATGCCGCAACAAATATAACTCTAGCCTCTTACCTGTGATGCAGAGGTAGGAAATGTAACCCCTTCTTCCTTAAGAGATTTAATAGTTGCTGATATTAGACTGAACTGTGGGTCTTTCTGAAATTCTTCTGACCATTCAACCATTAAAGCTTTTAACTTTTCACATACTTTAGGATGACCCTAAAAAGACACAAACAAGCCCGGTTTTACAGCACAATCTACAAGGCAAATTTTGATTTTTAAAGTGTTGTGGCTAGGATCCAAAGAACCACCCAAATTAGCTCTGAAGGCCTGGGGGTATTTGGGGCTTGCGCCACACCTCTTCTGAAACCGAAGGGAGTTTTTAAAAAAAGGAATTGTGAAATGGTGTAAGGGTCTACTGCTTAAGGTGGGGAAAGGCCCCCCGAAGGAAAGAAATGCCATTAGGCACGACCAGGTCCTTGAACATGGCTAAACTAGCTCTTTGGATCATGGCCTATGTTTAAATTGCCTTGTACTAAAATCTAGGGGTCAATGCAGAACTGATAATATGTCCAAAACATGTTCACATACGCAATAGCAGAATGTAGAACTGGGGTGTGTGTGTGTGATCTGTTGCTCCCCATCTTCCAAACGGGGCATGGTGCTGCTGCTTACTGAGAGGGAATGGGACATGGCAGAGGTAGGGTGGCTCAGATGCCACAGCAGAGCCAGTCCAACAGGCCCAACACTGTATTCGCACGGGGCCTGCACTGTGTTGAGCTCCCCGCTGCAGCAAGCAACACACTGTATTCAGAAGACGGGTGAGCAACACGCCCCCGCTGGCTCCTACTGGTTATAAATACCATTCGGGTTTATTATGTGCTTACGTGCAAATATTTTGCTCTTCCGGCTCTACTACTGTGCAGGGTTAAGATCTACCTGATTTCTCATGGTCTGTCATTCCTGCATGACAGTTGTCAATTCAGATACTGCATGTTACGTTTTCTTCATTGCAGTCCATAATGGAATACTGCTGTGGAAAATCATTTCATGGTTTAGTCTCTTCCACTCATCTCTCTGCCCTATCAATTCTGTTTAATTTGTCCCTTTCTGCAACCTAAGTTAAATATCAGCAGTGTATTGGACAGATGCATAGACACCATAACAATGAATTTCTCCCCATTGGCTTTCATTAAATATGGAGCATATTAGAACCTTACCTTGTTTATAATAACTCGTACTTCACTGGCAAAGTCGCGAGAGCAGATTTCTAAGTGAAAAATCTTTCCACAGTTTGAAACACAGGCTCCCAATAGCTAACAAGTGAAATTGAAGGCAAAAATTAGTAGATGAAAATAACCACATAAAATACAAGGTGTAAGCAGTGACGAAGGTATTGGCCATAACAAAGATTTACTACATCATCTACAGATATTAAATAGAATTCAAAAGCAATCATCTAGTATTGCCTTATGATTAAAAAGAACTGTTTTAACCCTTTTCATAAAATAAGTTATGTATTATACTTACAGTTAGTGCCTGCAGAGCAACATGGGGTACCTTGTGATTTACTCTCTTCAAAATGGCTTTGAGGCAATCTTTTGCTCTAGATAAAACAATATCATTTCTCAGACTCTTATTTCAATCACTTAATTCGCATGCTGGCAATCTGCAAGCCTATTCCCCCCCCCCATCTTCCTGTCACTGCCCCCCAAAGTTGGGCACCTCCTCTGACCATCCCCTTCTTCTGACACCTGGAGTGACTTTTGGTTGCTCTGGGCAACGGGGAAGACATCCCATTACTTCGTGGAATCCAGGGTTTTATCTCTTAGTTGTACTGAAAACACGAAGAGCTGACAGGATGAGGGTTGCCAGCCTTAAAAAGAGCAGAGTTGAAGGCGGAAGAGCCAGCATCTTCCCACTCCCTTCACTCAACTCTGTTCTTCTCAAGACTGGTGGCTCCCTGCCCACTCTCACAGAGCAGACCATGGAGTGGAGAAAGAGAAGGGCCATCAGGCAGGCTCTGCTTGCCTGCTCAAACCTCTTTCTCTGGCACTAACGGGGTGAGCCTGCAACACGAAATATGTGGAAAACAGTGGCACAGATCTCTCCAGGTCGTGTGTATGCGAGAGAGAAGAGGGAGAGGACGGAGTGTGTGTTTGTGTGAATGGACGGTGATGGTGGGTGTACGCTCGTTTGAGAAAGGGGTGCACTCTGATCACACACACACACACCGACTACCTTCTCCAAAGGAATATCAACAAGATTGCCCACACTTGACTTAACTGAAAAGGAGACAGGAAATATTGGAAGGAAAAAGACACTGAAAACCAAAGTTTTGGGACACAATCCTACCATTCATGTTGCAAAGGGAAGCTCCAACAGCCTTTTTCCCAGACCTTCAAATTCTGCATAGAGTCAATGTGTGGATGGGAAGCTGGATCACACCTATTAATTACCCCCTTCTTCCACACATTGATAGGATCTGTGTTCAGACAGCCTACATACTAAAGGTTTTCTCCGCAAGACTGGGAACCCTGAAAAGGCTGCACACATACTGTCAATCAGGAGATGCATCTCTGCTGCCCTTTCACATGCTGATCCAATACAGAATTTGAAGGTCTGAAAAGGCCTCATCTCTCCTCTGTCTTTTGGCTGCTTTTTAGCACTTGCAAAATTGTAGTTTTAAGTTAGGCAGTGCTATTTGCCACCAGAAGGTGGACTGCTAAAAAAAACAAAGCAATATCATTAAACACAATTTGGTATACATTTTTATACCAACCTATTCAAACAGAATAGGCACCAAATGCTTTCAAAGCTTGAATAAAGCACAGTCACATCCAAGCACACATTTTTCTTCTTCTTACAATTTAGTCTGAAAGCAAGCAAATATATCTTGCATGCATTTTTGGTAAAAAAAGATAAAAATAAAAGCTGCCAAAAAGAATGAGAACCAAGAGTCCAAGAGTTCTGGAAGACAATTACAAGGGGGGAAAAAGTTCATCTAAACAACACTGGCATTTACTGGAAACTCTAGGTTAAAAAAATTCTGCTACTTCACAACAGAAAGAGAATTTACTTAACAACCTGGACAGTTTCTCAAGTGACCTAGTTGCATTTTCCCTTTGCATCTTAAATGGATCTGATTTTTTATACAAGATGAGTTTTAACATAAGCACATTACTGTGTATACCAGCCTGAATTGACTGGAATGAATAGAGCTACCTATCAGATCTGGGCACAGGAAACACAGATTACTCAGCAGAAACATAAAATGACATTCAGCGAGAGCTGGCAGACAGGACGAAGTGTCTTACCCATTAGGAGTGCTTCCAACTTTGTCACATATATCCATAATAACTCCCCAGTCTTCAGCTGTGTTGTACTCATTTGTGGCTTTTTCTATAAAGAAAAATAGTGCTTTGAGAAGCAACACCTTTTCAAACACATATACTCTCTGTTAGAACTGCCACTAGCAAAACAACTGCTTTTTATTCTGTATATGCTCCCAAAGCTGTAAACTTCAGAAGCAGTTTTTTCGTTCCCACCATAAGGAGACACACATTTCTCAGTGCGATGGAAAAAACCTCCCCACAGAACTGCAGTTACAAGGTTATCATTTTATGTGATCTGTTTAGTCTGAAAAGGCATATCCTTCATACCTGCTTTACCCAAGTGTAAACATATGAAATTTTGTACATTAACTCTTTAGAGGTGGGTACAAGTCTAATGTATCTGTTATTCATATTTTTTTCAACCAAACTGTAGGATGGGTATGTCCAAAAAGCAGTTTGCAGCACAAGTATTTAGTTTTTAAAATTCTCAGTTCTTTCATAATATAATGGAGAAGAGATTACAACAGAATTGGCTTACAGCAAGTAATGTTGCTGCCTTTAAGGCAACAACTTAAAACTTCTTAAATGTATTTACAAATCAAATAACTGCTTTGCATCTTAGGGAAGAATTAACAGAGAGTTAATTCTCTGTTTGTGGAGCTGGAGTAGAAGCTGGAAGATGACCCGACCCACCTCCTGCAGCTCTCAACTTCCCTGAGAATCTGTTCTGGAGGGTTCAGGACTACAGGAGGATGGGGGAAATTGGCAAAGATCACTCCCTTCCCTTTAATGGACACCTCCTGCTGGCTCCAAAGCACTTGCACAACAGCATGAACGGGATTCAACCCATTTATTGGGCAAGAAGTAGAGACAAAACAAAGCTTGAACAAGCACCAGCACTGGCTCACAGAACTTTGTTTAGAGCTCGGAAATCATAGGCAAATAAATGAGGCATTTCCCTTGTGAAAACTGTAAATTCTCTTGAAAGGGCACTGTTTTCTTCTGCCGTCTGTCCAAGCGATGTATGAGAGACTCACAAGATCTGATCTGTGCATTTGTTAACAGACTCCTCCTTTAGAGCAACTTCAAAGCATAGCACTGCCAACCATTGCCAACAGCATGAATGGTGCCCTCCCAACTCCGCTGCACTGCAACTTCCATAATTCCTGATAATTGGGAGTTGGAATCCAACAACATCCAGAAAGCCAGATCTTCCTTATCCCTAGTCAACAGCTGTGAAATGATATAGAACGATCCATTCCATAATTTTGCACTGCCCCCTGCTATCAAAGAAGGGCTATTAAATCAAAGGGTTATGGTTCAGTTGTAGAGCATCTGCACTGCATGCAAAAGATCCTGGGTTGGATTAATTCCCAGCAGCTCCAAGTAGGGATAGACATAAACCTCAGCAGAGACTCTGGAGACCTGATGCCAGTCATGCTGAGATAGACCGACCAATGGTTTAACTCCATCATAAAGTAGCTTCCTCTGTTGTTCCTCTGTTAAAAGAACATCAGAAGCTGGTTTGAAAATGAGTTTACTTCTCTTTGGTTATTTTTCTTTTCTTTGGTGTCCTCTGCTCCGGGCTGTTATTGGGGTCTAAGGATTTCACATGCACAAAGGACCCTGAATTGGTGGAAGGACCCTGAGTGAGAGGCAGGGAAGGGAAGACCTCCCAGGATGACAGACTGGGAGACGAAGAAAAAGTTCCCAGGTCAGAGTTGGGAGGCTCCACCACTTTCTGAGGGTGACAAGGGTTAAAAGCTACCTTTGAGAAAGGACTTTTATGTTTTCTTTTCTCTTTCTCTGTTTTTGTATTTATTTATATTAGTTTCTTTTAGCTTATTGTATTATGAAAAAGCTTTAATAAAATATTACACACACACACTCTGAGTTTCAGAAATAAGTGTATTCATGTTTTGCCTTGATTTTTATCCACCAATTTTCAAATCTCATGCTAAGGCAGTAAGTTCCAAGCTGTACGGCACAGGAAATCAAAGGCTCCTGTGTGCCTGAAATATCCACCCACAAAAGTAGGTTGACTGTTTTATTTTGGAATGTTTAACCCTCTGGTCTTGTCTCTTCCTGATACAGTTCCTGCTGCCCTACTTCTGCATCCAAGTCATCCCCAATTAAGAAATGTAACACAGGAAATGCCAATTGCTTTGCTGCCTCAACCATTGCTCCAATCAGGAGGTGCATGAAGAACAGTTAATTCAAGCAGAAATATTAGGGGTGGTACTCCTAGAAGAATAAAGAATTCTTATCCATTCTACATGTACTGTAAATCTTTTAGGATGGAGGAGTAAACCATACCCCCTATTTATGCATTCAGGAAAAAGTGAACTGTGCCATAACTACCAGAAGCTCAGATAACAGTGAGACCTGATGGGTAGCTGTGTTGGGGAAGGCCCAAACATTGTAAAATCAAACAATTAGTACTTCCATTAACTTCAACATACCCGATTAAGATGGATAATCACAGAAATATCAACTTTACAGTAAAAAAAAAGGGGGGGGAACTCACTGAAAGCTAACAAAATTATCTTGTACTAGGAACTATCACACTTTAAATAAATGTATGACTGAGAAAGGTTCTACCGGTAATTTGAGTAAAACGCTACATGCACATTTGTTCCCATTTCCAATGCTTCCCTGTTTGTGCTTGTCTCTAGCAGAAATTGTGGGAAGTACTGTACACGGTTCCTTCCCCTGACTCAGCTGTTAAGACTGTGCTCATAAAGCCATATTTGCAATGATCAACTATTCAGTGGGTAAAGGAGAGAGAAAAGGAGATCAACTGTCAATGGAGCATCCCTTTCTGTGTGTGGTACCTCACTAAGCTAGGGCTATGCACACGGACACCTGTTTCTTTGCACTAACTGAAGTTGTAACTACCTTTTTTAACAACAACATGCCTGCCAGATGGAGAACCACATTAAACTTGTGCAAGATACTATGCAAATTAGCATGGCAATGCATACTTATAGGGATCTACTTGGTTTGGAGAAAGAACAGAGGGCTATAGTGACTTAATCATCTTATATTTTCTTGGATCCAAATACTAAATAAAGATAGCCGCCAACACATAAAGGGTGTCTTATTGTATGACAAAACAAGAAATAATTGTGAACCAATTACTAAAGCATACACTCCTGACTAGCTTGCAACAAGTTTAAAAAAAAAAAAGACTGCAGGTTTCAACAAAACACATCCAGATGATCAGCATATCTAAAGCATTCACATTTCTACTAAGTGATCTCGCAAATTTGCTGGTTTCTGGTAATTAATTCAATTAAATATTCTAGTCTCCAATAATAGAAATGCCAATTCATTCTCCACTTAATTCAGGTATCCTATATTATCAACTCAGTGTGTATGCAATCAGCCTTCATGAAAAAGAGCTGCTTAGCCTAAAGCAAAGGTTGTTGAACCATGTATATTTTTCTGTAAGGACATAGGAACCAACAGGGTCCTATCATCTGACATGAAAGGTTGGCAGGTTTCCAGATTGCTCTATTATATGCATATAAGCAATCTCCGTATAACAGAAAAGGAATGGATCATAAGAGAATGCTTTCCCCCAACTACAGTACATTACTATCTTTTCCACTCTCATGGTGTTTTATGAAGAGCAAGCAAATCACTTAACTTTTTTGTTTGATATAACTGGTGTATGCTTTTAATAATGTTGACTGAAGAAGAGCTTGTGCCAGAAATCAAAGTCCACTTGCGTTCAACTCCCTACATATTAGCCTTATCCTAGGAAGCTCAACAGCTGAACCTCTAGCAGAAGAGAGCACTGTCATCCATGTATTTCCCACATTTTCTAAGAGTATCTGAATTACCACCTACAATAGACTATTAAGATATCCAATTCCTCTGTGATTTTTAAAGAACCCCTTAGATCTAAAAAAATAATTGTCAAAAACAATAAACTTCAGTACAGTGCACGCATACGTGTGCAGGGAAGCTACAGAAAGGATTCAAGATTATTTTCCTGCCTTATACATTTTTGTTGAAATAGTGGTTTCAGAAACACAAAATTTAAAATCCCATTGCAGATACTACTAGAGAATGTGGGAAGCAATGCTTCCCCCCCTTTAGGCCTAAGTTTGAAAGACACACAGAGGTTAATGCCACTAATTTCACAACTTTTACAGCACAAGACAGCTTGTAAAAAAGGTGCCTGTTCTCAGGTTTCAAAATATCCACCAACCAGGAATGACAAAAGCAAGCAGCTGACCACAGTAGATGTCACTGTAAATGAGGAGAAAAGTGCCCTGTCATGTCTGTTGATATATGGTCTGTTGACTAATAAACTCCAGGTGTAGTGTTCCTTCCAAGGCATCCAAATTATTACCAAGACCACTAACAATATTTATTTAAGATCCAAAACACATTTATTTGACAGAGTGAGGGACAGTACAGTGAAAGTATAGGAAGGCACAAGGTTAAGATTAAATCTCTAGAAGTCTGTTTTTGAATAATTTAACTGTACCTTTGCACAGAAGGTAAATGAGTGCAAGGAGCCTGGCCTCAATATTTCCAGAAGTTTTGGTACAAGCATATCTGTTCTTGCAATGTCTAGGTTGTCAAACCAAGGTCAGCCATGCAAGACTCCCTGCCTATTTTCCCAGTCCCCTACTCCCAGTTATCTGAACAGTTATGTCAATATGATATATTGGGATAAGGAACTGCATGAGAAACTGCCACATATCTCTGTCTCCAGCACCATTATGGCCTGAATGCATATGAACAAAGCGATCCAGTAGTTTAACTGCTGGAACTACCCACCAGGTTAAAACCCTTGTTCGTCTTAGAATTTCAGCAAGCTATTAGTTCTCAGTTCCAGTCTTGCACCAGGGTGGTGGCGATGGACAGTGTTAGAAACGGAGATATGAAAGCTAGGAGCTAAATGGCACCTTAAACCTGGGTTATGGGCGCAACAACAGAACGTCTAGGCATGATTTTTTGTAACAAGACTACAAAGCTGGAAATGAATGAACTGCAGCTAAAATATTATGGTTATTTTTAGATCTTCTCCTGCCTATCTCACCAATATTCTTAACAGGGTCTCTTCTCCAGTTTTCGGAGAGTTGCTGGAAGTGGGGAGGCAGAAAAAGGTCCTCCTTTCCTTCCACTCTACAGTTTTAATCTGAAATCTTAGGTGCAAAGCTCAGAAACTGCTGGCACTCATGAAATTCCCAGTCCCAAAAATGCGTCTAGAACAATGGGTGATGGGGGGGGGGGGACTTTTGCCCTTACAGTGGTACCTCAGGTTAAGGACTTAATTTGTTCCGGAGGTCCGTACTTAACCTGAAACTGTTCTTAACCTGAAGCACCACTTTAGCTAATGGGGCCTCCTGCTGCTGCCGCACCGCCGGAGCACGATTTCTGTTCTCATCCTGAAGCAAAGTTCTTAATCTGAAGCACTATTTCTGGGTTAGCGGAGTCTGTAACCTGAAGCGTATGTAACCTGAAGCGTATGTAACCCGAGGTACCACTGTATTCCTCTAGGTAGCTCACAGCCAACGAGATATTTAATAGAAGGAGCACCAGCTCTGGGGAATAAACGAACGTGATTCCTCTATGTATCTAAGAAACGGACCAAACAACTCTAACGCAGGGAAGAGGAATAACTTCACCGCAGCTTTGAGCGCCTGCGGACATCCTCAACCACCACCAACCCCTCTTATATTTAAGAGGTGCCCGCTTCCATCCCGGCATCGATCCCCAACACTAGACGCCCATCTTATTTGCCTGCCCAAGATCGCAGCCTCAACGCAACAAAAACTTCCCGAAAGGTCTCTAGCGGCTTCCTTTAGTGTTTGTAACCCAAAACAATTGGGGGGTGGGGTGGAGAGGAAAGGAACGAGGGAGCCCAGGGTCGCGCCCCTCGGCCTTGGTCCACGCGGGGACCCCCCACCCCGGAAGCGTTGCTGCAACGTCGTCCCCAGGGGCCAACAGGAACTGTCGGTTGTGTCATCAGGCCTCTTGCCCAAGAGAACCTCCCGGGAAACAGGGATCGCCGGGTTCATTCCTTCCTTCTCCCTCCCGGCCCCGCCCCGGGGTCAGCTGCCTCGGCGCGGCGCCCCGGAGCCCCGGCCCCTCTTTCCCGTGGGCACTTGGGCTGCCTGCTGAAGCCCGGCGACCCCTCGCGACCCCGTTTTCCCAGGCGGAGGGGGGTGGGCGGCAGATCCCACCCGCCGGGACTCACCCACATCCTGCTCGAAGGGGTTGGAGCCGAAGAGAGGCATGGTGGCTATTATAATAATGGCGGCGAACGGCGAACCCTCCGGGGCGCTCGGGCCCGGCTGCTGCCCCCAGGTAAGGAAGCGACTCGGTGCGCAGCTACCCCGTCCTCAGCACAGCTCCGCCCCGCCCTCGGCTCCCTTTCCGCTCTACTTCCTGTTCCGCCCGCTCCGTAAGGACCCCCCTCTCCTCCGTCCCCGCCCACACCCGTTTGGGTTCGTCTACATAGTCGCCTGAGTTATCCTGGCGCGGGAAGGAAGGCGAGAGGGCCGGTCCAGAAGGGCTGAGAATGGCAATTTAGGCGTGGGCTCTTTTTAATCCCGCAGGTTTATCCCGACGTCGCCGTTTCCGAAGGGAGGAGACGAAGAGGGGAAGGAACAGGAAGGCAGTTCGTTGGGTACCCTGCGTCGGTTGGTCCTTGAACAGAAGACCCATCACGCAGAGGTAGGGAGTTGGGGGGGGAAATGGAAGAGTCGCGCGCACCTGGCAATTCCAATGCAAAATGTAGAGGGGGCTTCAACCATAGAGGTGAGAAGTGGCAGAGCGACTTCTAGGGGAAGAGGGCAGGAGGCAGAAGCTTGGCAGAGAAAGCAATGGCGCTCTCGGGAATTGTGGCGCCAGCCCTGCTTGGCATTAAGGCTGCTGACTTCGCAGCAGGTGCAGTTGGAATCTGTGGCATCTGCTTCCGTGTGAACGTGGCACATTTCGCAGAGTTCAGATGGACATCAGTGGGACCAGTGCAGACTGCAGACCTTCCAAGTGTCTCTATTTTCCAGGGACGGTCCCAAATTTACAGCAGCCGTCCCGGTTTCTGATTTGATCCCTATTTTCATTGGAGAAAGGTTGGAGGGTATTGAGTTATTCGGCACCCGAACAAAGGAAATAAGTAACTATACAACTTTTAAGAAGTCATCTGAAGGCAGCCTTCTATAAGGAACTTAATGTTTTATTATGTTTTTGCATATGTTGGCAGCCACCCAGAGGGGCTGAGGCAACCCAGTCAGATGGGCAGAGTATAAATAGTAAAAAAAATATTATTACTATGGAATAGGACGTCCCTATTTTGATCAAGAGAAATGAATCCCTCCTATAGTTCATATGTTCTGCTTCAAACTTCTTTGTTCCGGCAAGCCTGCCAAGAAATGTAATTTTCACATGCACTTTTGTTCTTAAAGTCTGCTTATTTTATTTATATTCTTATTTATTATCCATTTTTTATTTATGCTAGTATTTATAGCCCACCCGTCGCATAAAATATCAGTAGGGTGTACAACAAAATTTACAAGCACAATGAAAACAGTACAGAATGATCATAAAAATGACTGGCTTATCTTTAAAAAGTGTAAACAACTGAATAGGACTGTTGACATAAGGAGCAGTCTTCAAAGAGGTACTGTAAGTTGTCAGTGAGGATAGTAGCTGAATCTAGAAGCTGAATCTTAGCTGGTATCTTAGCTGGAAAAGTCTTCGACAGCATGGGACCGATGACACTAAATGTCCAACCTCAGGTTGAAACTAGTTGGGCTTCTGAAACACAAGGGGCAAATAATGACACTCCTCCAGATGATCTCAGAGATACAGTGGTACCTCGGGTTAAGTACTTAATTCGTTCCGGAGGTCCGTTCTTAACCTGAAACTGTTCTTAACCTGAAGCACCACTTTATCTAAGGGGGGCTCCTGCTGCCACCGCGCCACCGGAGCATGATTTCTGTTCTCATCCTGAAGCAAAGTTCTTAACCTGAAGCACAATTTCTGGGTTAGTGGAGTCTGTAACCTGAAGCGTATGTAACCTGAGGTACCACTGTAATTCTGATAATTTTTTTATTCCTACTCTTTTAAAGTCTATTTTTATTTGCCCCCCACTCCAGCCTCATTGATTGGTTTGATAGGTAAAGGGACCCCTGACCATTAGGTCCAGTCGTGGCCGACTCTGGGGTTTCGATGCTCATCTCGCTTTATTGGCCAGGGAGCCGGCGTACAGCTTCCGGGTCATGTGGCCAGCATGACTAAGCCGCTTCTGGCAAACCAGAGCAGCACATGGAAACGCCATTTACCTTCCCGCTGGAGCGGTACCTATTTATCTACTTGCACTTTGATGCGCTTTCAACCTGCTAGGTTGGCAGGAGCAGGGACCGAGCAACAGGAGCTCACCCTGTGGCGGGGATTCGAACCGCCGACCTTCTGATCGGCAAGTCCTAGGCTCTGTGGTTTAACCCACAGCACCACCCGCGTCCCCCGATTGGTTTGATAGAACCTCCAAAACTGCACAATGGAAGGAAAGGAGAAAGTGTCCCATCTGGCAACCCAAAATGTTTCCCATGGCGGATTGATTGCCTTAGCACAATGTTGAATTCCACCGACTGCTATTTTTAATGAATGCTTTATACCATTTCATGTAAACTGTTTAGAGTGTATGCATTTATAGTAGTGTATAAATCTTGCTAAACTTATATAGTTTCATTTCACAGATCCAAGAACATGCATTCATAGCCATGCATCCATTTCTGGAGAGGGCTTGGCTATGAGCTTAAATGTAATACCTGTGAGAACATGATACCTAACTGTATGGGAAAGCGGGCGGGCATGTCTAAGAATCCCGATGACTTTCTGAATGATCTGGAGGACTTTGATCCAAACTCAAACATATTTTAATATTATAGCTTTCACCTTAAGCCCTGCTGTGGAGGTTTGACAGAGCTACAGGATTTGCAGTAGTATTGCCGGAGTCTATGTCAACAAAAGTTTGATTACTTGTCTCTAACTAGCAGGCTTATTCACTCAACAGCCAGTTACAGAGCTAGTTGTCCTGCATCTTGTTACACGCACTTAACATGTAGTAAATAAGCAACACAAATCACGAATCTGCTTGGGCATGGAATCAGCTATGGCAAAGGAGAATAAAACTGTTCATGGAAAGAAAACATTGGCTACACAGGGCACTTTTTCTGCCCAAGAGTCACTGATGAAAATGACAACTGTACCAGCAAGGGCAGCAGTATTCACTTCCACATTAGTGAATTCCTGGGCTTTAGATCCAGTAATGGTATTTAAAAAATTATATTATGCCCTCTAACTTTAATAAATAGTACTGTTGGCACCCAGTTTATTAAAAACATCCATCCTTATTTCTTTGACTGGTTAGTCTCTCTGCACAAAAATATGTTCATTGTCATTTCTGTATTTCAGATTCCAATAAAATTACATTTATTTGAGTGACATCTCTTATGTTTGTTTGTATTCCTCATAGGACTTGCTCAGCAAATTTTGTGGTGGTTTTAATTATCAAACCTCTCCTTTCTGGCAAGAAAATTCCTGTTTGGCTGTCCTTGGCAGGATATTTTTCCCTGAAGGAGAAATGGTCCTTCAGGACCTGGGGAATGGTCGTACAGTGGTACCTCGGGTTAAGTACTTAATTCGTTCTGGAGGTCCGTTCTTAACCTGAAACTGTTCTTAACCTGAAGCACCACTTTAGCTAATGGGGCCTCCTGCTGCCGCCGCGCCGCCAGAGCCTAATTTCTGTTCTCATCCTGAAGCAAAGTTCTTAACCTGAAGCACGATTTCTGGGTTAGCGGAGTCTGTAACCTGAAGCGTATGTAACCTGAGGTGCCACTGTATTGGCAGCCATCTTGAATTCTGTTCAGATCCCCATTGTTCATTGCTTGGGTGTAGGAAAAAATCAAATTCAGCATGTCACAATAAAATTCCATCTTCAAAACATTCTACTCGAACGGTCTACTTGATAATTCTTTGTGATGACTCTGTCCAAACATGCTGTGCATCCCTTACATTCTGGGCTTCAGTATGGGCTTCGTAGCTCCTTATGACACCTGACACTCTGTCATCTGGGGTAGGGGCATGTGTGATGCATAGCCTCAGTAGGGCCATCATTCATGATGACATAGCTTTCCCCCCACCCCTTTCTTGCAAAAATTAAGTTCCAGCAGCAACAGAGGACATGACAACGGACAAGGGAGCTGTTAATGGTCTCAAAATATGTGAGATGAGAGTCAAAGCCCTTGCTTCCATCTTGAAGGCAGTTGTACATGTATACTCTGAAGGTGGGGAGAGGGGAACTGAGGAGGATCCTTTGGATAGCAGCTCCTCATGGAATGCTGCTCCAGAAGGCCCTAGGAGGAGGCTGTGGAAGATGCAGGGAGGCCTCTGTGTGTAATGGCTGTGGTTAAAATCTCCCATACCTGAATAGGGCAGCCATGGCACTAGTTTGTTTTACATCCATGATGTTTTTTCCTGCATAGAGAAATATATAAATAATAAATTACTATCATCATCATTATCAAGGTAACTGGTATACAAAAAAAAGTGTGTGTGAGTGTTCGCATGCCTGTTATTGAACATACTGGCTTCCCTACCTGTGTAATCACTTTAAATAGAGGGCAATATCCAAGTCAATAGATCTGCTAGCACACTGGTCTTCACTTGGTGGGTCGTGCCCTGATCCAAGGTGGGACACAGCGGCAGCACTACCACCATGCAAATATATTGTCATGAGTTTGGGTGTCAGAGTTTGTGGGTACAAGGGTCCTGGAATTAGTAAGTGTTAGGATTTAATCAGTGGTTGGAGGGAAAAACAGGAAGTCGTACTCTGAATAGCTGGACCCAACTTCCTGCGTTGAGCAGATTGCTTGAGAGGTGGGCCATTAAGAGACTCTGCCAGCTGGCGGATGAGTGGGGCCCCTCCCAGAGCTCTGAGGTAGTCAAGACAATGCCCAAGTTTTTGTTAGGAGGAAGTTTTAGATTTTCCATTGGCTATGGCATGATCGAGGGGAAATGGTGTCAGTCTGTTAAATGCGGCAAACTGGAGACAGGGTGGGGGCAGAGCACAATATAGGCTAACAGTTTGGATCAGAGGCTGCAGCAATGGGAGAAATGGAACCCTCTGAGAATGTAGTGATGGGACCCGCCCCTCCATCATAGGCTCAGGCTGTATACATGTAACATAAAGACACCACAGACTCCAGTGTGCCTCATTTCCAAACGAAACGAACCTTGCGTAAGTGCCTGGACCCTTGGAATCTTACACAGGTGTGGAGAGTGGGGTAGCATGTAACAATATGGTAACAGATTTAAAAAGGGGGTCCCCAAATGCATGCATGAGTTAAAGCTGGGTCCTGGGTTTTGAAAAGGCTTACACCAGCACAAGAATTCCTACTTGTGCCATGGAACCACTCCTCCCTTTTCTTTCTGCACACGCCAGTTCTGGGAACCCCAGAACAGATTTAGGGAAGAAACGAGGGTGGAGAAATGCAGTTGTGCCACCAGAAATCCTTGTGCTAGCAGATATGCTTAGTAGGCTACAACACATTCACCTGTCCTGTACTGCATATGTGACAATGTACAGTACAGAGTTTTCCCTACATGAAGGTTATTGCCATAAGAAAAAGTTTTGTGTGAACCAGGCCACAGATACAGCATTCCGGCCTGTTTTAAGTACAAATATCCTGAAGATGGCAGTATTGTTTTACTGGGATACAGTGAGCCGCCACTTCAGATGCAGGTCTTCTTAAACCTTCGATTCTAAACATTCAGCTTGTTTTCTATATCCTGTCCTAGGATCTCTCAGGGTGAACATCTTAAGATGGAATTTGAGCAGAAACAACTTTGACAGGTGCTTTCCACAAGAATGTTTTTCGTGGTGACTAGGACTGTGGCCCCAAACTGGGACAAAATGGCTATTGTCCCTATAAAACATGTTGGAGATTTAATTTGTGTTTTAATCAGTGCTATTTTTCTAGAAAAAGAGGTGCCGGAACTCACCATGAACACCTCCCTTGTTCTCTTATAATGGCAATGGCACCCACCTGAAAGGTGCCAGAACTGAGTTTTGGCGAGTTCCGGCTGAAAAAAGGCCCTGGTTTTGATATTATGGAGTCTCTTGACTTACCTAGTTCAGTCTTCCTTATAGCTTTGCAGTCTGTTGGGCCCACCTGAGGCCTTCTAGTCTGAGCTTCAAAGAAAGCGGGAAGAGCGAGGGGGATGGATTAAGTCACCTAGGGCAGGGTGTAAATTCTTAATAAGAATAGAAAGCATGGGCTTGAGCTTTTTTCCACTTATCCTGTGCTTTCTAGGTACAGGTCTGAGTGGTTTAGCTAGGGCTTTTTTCCCCCCGGACGGAACTCACCAGAACTCAGTTCTTTCAGGTGGGCGCCATTGCCATTATAAGAGAATGAGGAAGGCATTCATGGTGAGTCTCATCACCTCTTTTTCTAGGAAAAATACCTCTGTGTTCAGCCTTTGCCCTGCAGTTTTCCTCAGGGAAAACCTGCTGTCTAGCGAAAAACTGGACAAAAGGCAAATCTGTGGAAAACCCAATTGCCATTTGTTCCGATTTAGCGCTAAACAGTGAGTTTCCTAGGGAGAAATGGTGGGGCAAACAGAATTGTGGGTGCGCCCTAAATCCATTGTGTGAGCCTGTCAAGTTTACACCTATGCATGGAGAAACATGTCATTCTCACAAGAGGGCCAGTTCCAAAATATATCACTATTCGCATATTTTGGTAGAGGGGTGTGTGGTTATTTTAAGTCCAAGATGCAACTAGGACAATGGCCTTCACACCTAGCTCTGTGACAGTACACAGTCTCTCCCTTTTTCCAACTCGCTTTTCTCCCCAGGAAAACAGCTGCTGCCTTCAGCCGGACTCAACAACATTCCTGTGAGAAGCACCTGCAAATTCGCAGCTCTTGCTTCTGCAGAAAAAAAGGAGGAGGCCAGAATGCCATCTTGTTTGGGGAGGAATGGCAGAACCTGTTTTAGGCCTGTCAGCCCTATCACATTCCAGCTATAAATTAAAAAAGTGTTGGCCGCATTCCCCAAGGTGTGACAGCTTTTACCCCGAAAGCCTTGTCCTTAACCTCACAGAAACAGAGGCTCTTAACATGGCTGCACTATGGGATCCTGGAAGGCGCACAAGCCTATAAACCAATTAAACCAATTCATGTTGAGCACCACTGGCTAGACTGAGGTGAAATGTGTGTCATGTTTCAAGATTAAAATTCTAGAGCAGAACCAAGTCCTGTTAAAGCCTGACATAGTCACCCCCCAACATTTCTTTTGCTAATGACTACTTGATGGGGCGGGGGGAAGAGATACTTTGACAAAATGCCCACCAGTAAAAGGTCCTGCCACTAATTGCCACTACTATCAGAGGGAGAGACCATTCATCTTTGACAAATTTATGCACACTTGCGGAAGTATGGAAAAGCTACATTTTCACAGCGGAGAAGCAGATACAGATTCTTCTGTCTTTATCATCACTATGTTTGTAGCCATTCATGCTTTAGTAGCCTCCTGACTAGACTACTGCAATGTGCTCCATCTGGGGCTGCCCTTTGTAAACGCATTAAAAATTCCAACTGATCCTAAAAGGTGATGCCAGACCCAGCATGTAACTCCAGTCTGATTTGATCTGCTTCTGCTGCTTATTCATTTCTGGAGTCTGGATCAAATTTAAGGTGCTGTTTTTTAACCTTTCAAGCCTGATATTGCTTACATTGAATAGGATTCCCTCGTATACTTCTTCCTGCCCAGAAAAACCCAATATTCAGCCTATGTAGAAGACCTGAGGACAGTTATCTGCCTAGGCAGATGGTACATCTACCACTACCATCAGCCCCAGTCTGCATGGCCAGTGGTCACAGATGATGGGCTATGAAGTCCAAACACACCTGGAGAGCCACAGATTCTCTACTCTTGGACATAATTACAGCTTTTCCATGAAGCCTTTGGGATAAATTGATGGCAAGCTATGATTTCTTCTGTTACTGTTCAATCTCCTTGTATGTGCTGATTATCTGTTGCTCATTTTCCCCCTGTTGGCTATTTTTATATTGATATTTAGATTAACTGGCAGTTGCTTTGAGTTATTTTGAAGAAAAGCAAGATAGATTTTTATATATACATAAAAAAACAAAACAAAACAAATGTGGGTCTGCTTGGTCGATGTGTGGTCAACTTTGGCAATCAATATCCTTGCTTCCAAGCATCCTCTCAAACTGCTGCTTTGACAGAGCTGTTAAGATGAAAAACAACGCCCAGAGGTATTTTTCCATCCTTCTCCTCCTTTAATTCTCCCAGTTTACGTAATAAAAATAGGACTTGACCTTCGACAAGCTGTTGCATTTAACTCATACATGGTACAAGAGTGGAAACCACTTGTGCAGAATTTTCGAGCCACTTAAAGCACTTCTTCGGTGTGTGGTCCTCGGGGAAATATTGCCAAAGACATCTTGACAAATTGGTGTTAAACTTCTGCCTCTCCCAGAGTGACATGCATACCCCTTTGCTCTTATCAAAACGCAGAGAGCACTTTTATTATTTATTATTCATTATTGTCAGCCCAGATAAATAATTTAGACCACATTATGCTAGGGCAATAGCTTACGCACCACTGTTGGGGTTACGACCCCAAGATGGAGCATCAAATAGATTCTTACCTCTCATTTCTGCCCTCATTGTTAAATTTCA